AGCAAGCTATCTTTCAATACTCCCAATACGTAACACTAATAAAGCGTATACACACACTATATCGTGACGTAGGATATCAGCAACCTACACTTACAACTCGCTATATATTTTCACGCTATTAAACTTCGGGGGTAAATAAATTGGAAGAAACCTTCACGTGGGAAAGGGACCACAAACAACAAGATGTCAACATTAAGGAAATAAAGTTATTATGGTAATGGTAATTTTGACATTTGCAATTGAGAATTTAAGAAAGTACACAATAAAATAAAGTTTTTATAATTCCATGCGGATGAAGCCGCACGGGAACAGCTAATATGTCATTCTAAAACTATTTTAAAAGATAAGAAATGGATATCTTTTATATCTTATCCTTTAAAAGTTCCAAATCCTTAACACTAAGAATCTGAGCACGTTTTAATTTGTAAGTTTTGGGGCTTGATGACTGCACCCCTGGATGCAGGGGCGGCGAAGGGGGGTCGCTTCGTGACCGGAATCCAGATTGGGGCCATAAAACCTGGAGGCGGGGCGCCTTCAGGAAATTAGCTGTCACACTTGGTGCCTATTAACGCTTCGTTTATATTCGGGCGCTGATTAACCACGCCTGGAACGCCGATCGTATGCGCCCCTGTCTTTTTAATTGACAACTGAACGTGATAGGTGTACTAGTGGAAGCTCGTATATGTGTTAAAAAGAGAACATATAATTAAAAATCGTATTAATTTAAAATTATCAACTAAAGCCCTAAGGCGTACGCCTGGAAAGTCATTGAAGTGTGATGTTTGTTTGTTTAAATAATAGCTACAGAAAGTAGAGCAAATCAACAAAACAGTGTCACTAAATTGATACAAAATAAATGTTTGATGTTTCGATACGATAAACAGCCACAATTGTATGAATAGTGTTCATTTTCTATTGATAAATAGCAGTCTATTATATTGCAGCGCATTGTCATTGTTTTTGATTTTGTATACATCATAATTTGAGTTAGACTTCACTTTTTAACGTACTTTTTAAAGTGTTAATATTTTTAAAAAAGTGTAATTTTGACAAGAGAATAAAGAAATTGTGTTTTTTTTATTTATAGGAAAACGGTTATGCATCTCTACTGTTACGCGCCATACGAAGGAACCAATAATTTGAAATTGTCACAACATTACTAACTTTAAGATATAGGAGCAGCGGCTTATATAATTTTATAGTAAAACTAGCTTTCGCCCGCGACTCCCTCCGCGTGGAATTTAAAAAAACAAAAGTGAGTAGCCTATGTGTTGTTCCAGACTATCCTTTACATCTACATATACTAAATTTCATCGAAATCGGTTCGGCCGTTTAAGCTACGAACTCTAACAAACATCCATCCATCTAAACTTTCGCATTTATAATATTAGTAAGAAGTAAGATTATAATATTAGTAAAATAAGTATTACAGTTCAATTGTTCAATAGCTTGTTTACAAATTGAAATGGAAAATTGTTTCTAGAAACTTATTGCTTTTCTATTAAATAGAATCGTAACACTTTCATTTGAGTACATTTACAACTTTAGTATAGTATGAATAAACGTCAAGTTACGCAATAAATAAAGGCGGGCGTTTTATTTATTCAGCGCGTCAAGTACAATGTGCTCTTTACTTTATTTTTTTCATATGATTTACTTCTCAAAGTATAATATTAATATATCTAGCGTTTGACAGATCCAGATTGTTTGAATAGGGAATTCTAACATTTTGTCTATTGTGCATAGAGTATTATGTTTTAAACATTATTCAAATATGCAAGATTGTCTACTACTTGTTATGAGAAGGGATGAATCGCATGTAACAAGAAGGTTAGTAATGAATTTGGAGGTACACCGGTAGAGGTAGACCCAGAAAGAGATGGATGGATTGCGTGAAAGGCGACATGATCAAGGAGTGATGACTGAGTTGACGGATGATAATTATTTGGAGGATGAAAACTCGGTGTGCCGACTCTACGGGAGTAAGATAATGCAGGGGAGATGATGATGACAAGATAGTCTATTACTTTTTTAACTTAAGGACTTCAGCGTTTTAATCCGTAGAGCAATATTTATTCCTCCTAAAGTGACTTGACTTTGAAAATTAAATTCTTTACTAATGAAGTTGATGTTGTTAAAAATTGTTGTTCTAATACTGGTTTTAAAAAGATATGCATCTTAAAATAAAGTGTAGATAAATTATTTTACACAAGTTTCAAATGTCATTAAATAAGCGAATTATTTGTAAAAATATTACACCTTTCCATTATTTACATTTCTTAGAATTCGTCAACTTCGCGCAAGCTGACGTCAACGATAGTCGTCTTAGTTTACGAGGAACTGGGAAAACTTCGGGAACAACGTGAGGAATTCTCAGTTCCCGGCGGATTACAAAAGTAACTGGTGATGCGGGCTCTATTGATGAAGGGATGAAATTAAATCCGGAAACAAGCCTTTTGTGTGATTCTACGAATTATGATAATTAGAACACTGTTTCTGAGCATGTAATGCTTTAGTTTTTTAGCTTCGTTACCCTAACTGCCATGCCATTTGTCGTAACGATTGTCTATTGTTTTTTTTTTTATTTTGTTAGTTGTTTTTAATTACACAAAAACATTGACTTTAAATATCCTACAATTTTTTCGCTAAACATTTAAGTTCTTTCAAATATTCCGGTATTTTTGAGACGGAATGGAAATGCAAAAAAATAACTTCTCAAGCTGTATTACCAGGGACGGTGGTAAATTAAGTTTGCGCGAGCTAATTATGAGTAATGAGTTGTTTCTTAGTGCCGTGAGCGATTCGAAATAGTGATGTGCTTTAGGAAAATGGTCTCGACGCGTTTAGGTACCAGATAAAAATAAGTACCAAAATAAACAATCTAATAATTTGTTTCAAATTAGTTTGAATTTGTCTGGAATTATTGTCAACATTATCCACGTTTATTAAGTAAGACTTCGTTACATTTTCTTTTCGGCACAAATAAATGAAATGTTCATAATTAGTCTACAAACCTAGACTATTTATTATAGTTAACTACGGGCCACAGAACTATTAGAATAAAAACAAATATATTTTTAACGAATCTTTTATAAAACAAAATAATTCTTGTTATTTTATTTTGAATAGAAAACTCCTATGAGATTTGTAATAGTAAATGTGGTTTATTAACTTGCTTTGGTTTTTAATATTAAGATTACTTATTTTTGATGTTTCTCGAAAAATATTTAAATCGATAGTGACATAGTTTACAGATCAATAATTTGTTTTCGTTATTTTACAATAAACGTAAAAAGAAGTTGATTTAAATATTTGTCAGTCGACAATCGTTATTTTTTTATCTGTAGTCCATCACTAGTATCCTATAACTGCTGTTGAAGGCTGTAGTTAATTTTTACTTCAGTTTTGAGTTGTAGCGTTTCGTTTCGCGATCTCGCTGTGAATTTAACTCCCGTTTCAATTAGCCGCCGTTTGCAGTAACTCTATTCAAATGGTTATAAAACGTTGGTAAATCTTATATCGCGGTATATAGCAAAATCTACAAACAAATTACTTCTTACTTTATTACAATGACATTTCGTCAATTTGGAAATAAGTACAAATAAAAAATCTTTTTATTGTACCCGTATCCAACAACCAATGTACAAGATATTTCAAGTGCTCGTTAATCTGCTTTGTAACTAACTATTCTCGAAGCAAAATAAAAAGTATCTGAATTTAAACTTTGCAGAAAAATGTCCAACATACACCGAGCATGACAGCTAGAGTTGGTGAACTTTTTGGAGAATAAAATAAAAATAAAAGTGGTACAAACTAGCGTTTTGGAAGTTCGTTAGAGGGCGCGGACACCGCATGGCATGGAGGTGCAATTAGAACAAAGAGTCGAGGGAAAGAGTTACAAGTGACCGCTCCGGGCAATGACTCGACCAATTGCGGTGCGCAGTTTTTCACGTTCCCATCGGCTTTATGGAGATGCATTTCCGAAGTTCGACTTTTACTGGTCGATATTTGACTTTTTGTTGGTACGCCCGAGGTGTTGAACGAGAAGAGATGGTCACGACTGTAGTAAATATCAGTATGGCAGTTTTGCAGTTGATAAAATTTTATCTCAATAGAAAAGACATTTTTGATATGACGTTTAAATCGATGAAAACTCAATTCAATCAGACAGCAGAAAGTTTTGTTTTCAATTTTTAATATAGCTTAATTGGGAACATATGAACCGCTGCAATGTTGAATATTGTCTATTATTGTAAATTATACGTTATTCGATATAGACAAGTGGTTCAAGTTATCTGCAGTAAGTTACAAAGGCAGCTATCGAAGGCTTACGTATAATACGGTAACACATGTCACGTGTACACGAAATTCAGTTTACATGATGTTCGGTAATTAAACGTGCTTGTAACTATAAGTACGGCACAGAGCAATTAAGCTACAGACTCTGCAGGGAGCTTTCTACGCACTACAACCTGCTATATGTATATATTAATAGTTTACTCTGTACACTGAAGAGCAGTTATGGTTCTTACTATATGTTTGCGAGTGTTTCTAACTCGAATTTACTTTGAGCATCCTTAAAATCAACTTTAATAAAACTGTAGGCAGCTGTTCGAGTTTATAAACATAAATAGAAATAGTAATATGTTTTAATACAGAAAATCCTTGTATACATTTTGTTTTATTTTAATTCCTATTACAGTTCACTCTTTAACACATGACCGTGAGATTCTTACGTTACTTAAATTATTTTCACGAAGTACAAACATTAAATATAAAACGTTGATTTTCAAATATAAATTGAACAATATAATAAGAGTATAAATGTTACCCTATCACGTGCATAACTCGAACGAAACTAGCACGAAATTATGAACAAATAGTAGGGGTCGTAGTCCTGTCTCTCACACATCCTAGAGCCTAATTAGTGCAGTTAGTTAGTGAGCTGGTAATTTTAACGAGTACGCATCGCTGTAGAGTTATTAACGAATCACACTCACCGTCGATATTCTAAAGGCTGTGCTGTACGAGCAGGAACCGTGCGAGCCTCTCACTGCGCCCTGTGAACAAATATACAGGCATACTGAATTAATTATATCATGTTTTGTTTTTAAATAAAATAAGTATATGAAATTTTATAGGATAAGGGGGCAAACGTACAGTGGGTCGTGGGTTGAATGATGTCGAGTGTCATAATATGCTTGAAAAACTTTAGAATATTTTGAATATTATTAAAAAAAAAGATGCTTTCCTCAGAACACTTGACATTAAAAACAAACATTGAATAAATTTATTTTAAAAAATATCTTAAACAGTAATTGTAACATGTACTTTTTTTTTTTTTTTAACCTCTAAGCAAAAGGTTAAGTGTAGAAAGTATTTAGAAATGTTCAAAAATGAAATGAAATTTTATTAAATGCAATAATACGATTATCTGTTACTTATTGAACACATAAAATTTTGGTAGGTGATATAAAAATGTTTTAATTGGAATTTTTCATGTATTGAATGATACAGCGTGGGTATTACGATTGGTTGTGACTTCATCTCGAGACGGTAACGCGGCGGGGCGTGCGATTGCCTCATTTTGAAAACAAATATAAAAAAATTGACATGTGTACTCATAAAATTATTATTGAACAATATGAAAATTAAATAATAATATTTGTTAGATTTAGATAGCTTTTATTTTCCCTTCACACAGTTTACATTATTTTTATTTATAAATTGCAACAAAAAACTATTATAAATTTTTCAAATATTTACAACTAGATCTAAAGATATGTTAGTGTTGTTAGTTTATTCACTTAAATGTTTAAATTTTAATATTAGTATGGTTAGTATCACTTTTGATCTTCTGTGTAAGGGCTGCCTAAAGTAGTGAAAGCCTCCTCCAGATTCTTCCATGTAGTCCTGTCCGATGTCAGTCTGGTCGAGCAGTGTCCAGCGATCTTTGCTACGTCGTCACTCCATCTTAAATGTGGTCAACCCTTTCTTCTTTTATTGTTGATAATATTTATTACTTAGATTTAAAAACATTTCATAAACATAGTGGGTTGATTTCACGACAGAATGATTTCATTTCCTCATATAATATCTCCCGAGGCTGTGGCGTTTAACAAAAGGTTTCTGTATAGAAACTGGGGCTGCCTTCATCTTTTTATGAATTCAAAAGAAAACCTGTTTTTTTCGACGTCAAGCGACATCTTCAAGTGTTTCTAGTATTATAATAAAATAAATATTCTACTTTTAACTGTAAAAAGAGGAAATCTAGCAAACTAATAAAAAAATATAATTTATTAATAATAATAATAATCATCATCCTCCTTATCTTACTCCCGAACGGTCGGTGCATCAGGTTTTTGTCTTCCACATAACTCTATCATACATCATCTCAGTCATCACTCCCTTTTTAATCATGTCACCTTTCACGCAATCCATCCATCTCTTTCTACGTCTACCTCTACCGGTGTACCTCAACATTCATAACTAACGTTCTCCTTGTATAATTGATTAATAATACCGATTATATTACCATAAACACAATGTTAAAGTCCCAACTAATTATTGGAAATAATGAAATTTTATTAATTTGAATACCCAGTAATATCGTTACCGTGATGTCATGAGGCTCAATTAGTTAGTTAATTACATTACACGGTCGACTATTATATTTTATGGATTAAAATGTTATCTATACTTATTATAATAAAGCGTGAACACTCACTTTGTTGCCTAAGATGTCAGCAATTACAGGATATTTTTGAACAATTCTCTTTTTAATAAAAAGCCTTACACTTCCGTCACGCTTTAGGCTATATATTTTCACGCCATTAAACTAAGGGGGTAAATATTTTGATAAAAACCGTAATGTGGGAAAGAGACCATACGATACGAGTTGCCAACATCAAAAAGCAAGATTGCCATAGTAAGGTCATTGGTATTTTGACATTTGCTATCAATAAAATTTTCATAATTTCATGCGGATGAAGTCGCACGGGAACAGCTAGTATGCGGATAAAAGTGCATCAAACCAATCAATGGAATACATCTTACTAATCTTATCTTACTTCCTACTAATATTATACTAGCGAAAGTTTAGATGGATGGATGTTAAGGTTTGTTGTCTAAGCGGCTGAACGGATCTAGATAAAAGTTGGCATAGTTGTACAATCTAGTCTAGTCAGATAGAGTACAGCCTGGAAGAATACATAGGTTACTCAGTTTTTTTTTAAATTCCACACGGACGGAGTCGCTACGAAAACTAGTATTTAATAAAAGCAACCTTATGTCTATGCAATAAGGTTAAAAAGTGTTTGTTGTGCTTAATTATGAGTGTACCTCAAATTGGTATACAGGAGGTAACGCAATTTGCAGTAAATAGGATATCGGTTCGTCGCCATTATACCGACGTGATGCCGCAGCTATCATTAATGAGTTAGTTAAGGCTGGCGATACACTGGCGTTTTGACACGTTGATTGAGAACGTGTGTAGACTGCCTACAAGATGGACTAATGACAAGAATGAGATTTGGACAGACATGATGAGAGGAAAAACAGTTATTGGAAATTAGAACCTGTCATTTCTATTGTTACTCATTTTTTGGAAGAGAACAAAATGTACTGTAAGTCTGCAAATTTTTATCTTATAAATAGTAGTACGATTCTGTCGTCTCGTTAATGCAACTAGCTTATACGAGAGTGTTATTTTGCGCACTATTGTGCTGCATACCGCGATATCGTTAGTGGTCTAATTAATTGGATCGATATTGGCTTTGTGGCCCGCATCCGCCGCGCCAGTCGTGCCCGTCGCCCGCCGCGCCCGCCGCCGGCACACTTGAGGTGAACGAAATTAATTTCGGCAACGTCAGCTTATCTTCTTTATGATATCACCTAAGGTAATTTCGGTAGCACAATGTATATTTTTAGTAAGCGAATACAAGAGAGTAAAAAGTACATTGTTATTAACAGATGTGCTATTGTTTTTCATTTATATTTAAACCTGGTATCTGAAGCTGTATTTCTCTGCATTAATCTGTATTGATTAATTTAACTTGCAGCAATCTCTATCCTTAGCTGCTCTGTTAGTTGCAGCAACTGATTTATAGTAGCATACGTGTGTACAGGTGCTCTGTGCTGTACAGCTCTGCAATATCTTTAGCTGAATAGTTTGCGCCCTTGCCTTGTGCTTTGTAACCGAGAACAAGGATAACGCGAGATGCCGACTTAACCATTGCGCACGTACAATGTGGAAATTATTACTACCGGTCTACTGGCATGTAAATTGGACAGTCTAGACTGATCAACTTCTCTACAAGTCAGAAAAGATGTTACTAAAGAGGGTGTGACACATTTCTTAAGGAAAAGATGAGGCGTTGAAAAATTGATTTCATTTTCTTCACATTTTTACAAGATACAATAGAACAAACGACAAACCTAGTTCTGCATAAAAGTGGAACAATGAGTCCTGAAGAATAACAGCCGCACAAGCTGCGACGTCGCTCCGAGCAAATGTAATTACGCGATGCTCGACCGAGCGGCTAGGGCTAGCGGCTAGTGACAACCCTTGTCTGCACCAACAATATAAGTTTTGTTTTAATTCGGATTACACCAGACCGGTGAGTATAAATACAAGGAGTTCAGCGCTACCGCAAAGACTTGACGCGACAAAGGAGGCACCGAGATGGTTTCTAATTACGAGCGAGGCCGTTATGCAAATCGGTGGGTCGGCGGCGAGGTCCATGTCTCTAATAAACATGCACAGCACTTGTGGTCTGACCGCCAAATTGCTTCCCCGCCGTCCCGCTTGCAATAAAACCTCTCCAATTGTCCTACCTACTCTAGACAATTAGCGCTCTTTGATCGAGCTCGAGTTTTTTCCAGTCGTTTCGCTTCAAAATCGACTAATTGTTTTTTTTTTTTTAATTTTCAAACGGAAGCAAAGGACAAAAGGCTTGCTGCGTAATGCGGCAAGAGTTTGAAGTACGGCTTATAAATTCTTGGTTTTATTTTTTAAACACTCGAAAAGCAATCGAATTGAGACCCGTCGAGACCCTTCTCATAGTTTTTATGGCGTAATTTGATTACAACGACCTTTTATAGCGAATAGTTGAAAAAAACCCGAAGAGAGCTTTTAAATATAGCTTCATGGAAAAATAACGAAAGTTTGAAGTAGTTTATGAAATTTTTATTTTGTTGATACAAACAACTTGGTTATTGCGTTTCGTTTAGTACATAGTCTACAGCGTGGTTACGACAGGGCCAGTCGAGCTATAAGGCCGGTAAATCGTTCCGCAAAAGTGAGTTCCAGTCTTAGAAAATCATCAGGTGTCGAGCCCGTGTCTAAAACTAGGCTAAAAGCATCGCTTAGTTGCCGCCTGTTCTAATTTTCCCACGAAAATCTAGACCGAGGACGAGCTACGAACGAGGTTACGATCGTACTTTAAAAAATCCTGTGAAAATTTTGAAATTTACGAATGTTTTTTTTTTATTATTTTTTTCACTTCGTTTTCAACAGCGGCTCGTAAATTGTGAGCGTTCAATTTTTATGGCGTCAAAATAGTCGGAACGGGGGACGAACGTTGGAGCGGAAAAACGTTCGTTTTTTACTTGCATTGGAATTTTTCCGTTTGTATTGGAACAATTTGTGGTGCGTTTTGTTGTTGTCTTCGCTGTTCACAAAGGTTGCGAGGGCGCGGAGGTGCACAATACAAAAATACATTTGTAGCGCGTTTGTGAGCAAGTCGTTACCGGTATTGAGATCGCGAGTACAAAGTATCTGAATAAATTCTTTTACAAATGCACGTGTCGGTTCCCACTATCGTCCGATACATTTTGAACTGTGTGCTCCTCGAATTAGACATTATTTTCAAATGATTGCCTTACCAAACATCTATCTTGACATTAAACTGAAATAAAATTCATCAGTCTAAATCTGGTACATATACTTAGTCTTGACAGTTTCAACGGAACCTTTAATTGCTTAGTTAAATCTATGTAGGTAAAATGTTAACTGTCAGTTGAACTGTACAGTTTGGCATCACGTCAATTAAAAACAAAT